AATGCAAAAAGCATGCGATTGTCTCTGTTTTCAAGGGAAAAAAAAATATCAAAGGAATAATAAAAGTAAAAAAAAAAAAAAAGGACGGTAACATTAATTGGTCTCGCACGCTCAACATATATGACTCAGAGGAGCTGAAAGAACATCTGACAACAGGAGCCGTCTTTAGAGGGAGTCTAAGCTACGTGGAGACTTCTACATCTCTGCTGAGAACTGGGGAGCTGAGCAGTTCGGTAGGATGTGTTTCCACAGGAAATAAGGGCAGCGAACTGTTTTCAAAGCCCTTTTCCTGCAGCATTTTCATTTATTCCGGTTCTCTTTACTTCCAGCTTCATAGAAAGCTTTTTTCTCTGCCCTTCCCCACGAGCCACTTCTTCCTAAGGGAGGGCTAATCTGTCTCCCACGAGCTATAGACCACTCTCCTTCTGGTACGACTCTAAGGACAAACGTCTGGAAAACAAGGTCTCGTAGTGCAATGAAACTGTAAGTAAACAGCTGGCGTGGATCCTGGCAAGTGAGTACACAATCACATTGCTTTTCTATGCTTCAGCCATTTGGGCAGGAGCAGCCTTCTCAGCCCATAGGAAAAAACATGAAAGAAAGAAAGCAGTCTGCTGGGTTACCAGCAGGAAAGCAATAACAATATTACTTAACATTAATTAGTTTACATTTGTGAGGCAGTCTGAAAGCCCAGAGACCGTCCATAACTAAAAAGGGCATGACGTTGTGGACTGTGAGTATGCTTGCTGAGCTTGTACTTTACCTACACAGACGAAAAGCGATTCTCCTGATATACCATGTACTTAAAAGTAGAGAGCAAAGCTCTGCGGTAATTAAAGTCTTTTTTTCTCAGCATCACCGTGACTTGGGATTGCACAAAACAAACACTGCTATCAGTCAGCTGTGACTCTTACCAAGTTTATGCATTGAAGATGGTAGTGAAAGATTGAGGAAAATGCAGTCTTGCATATTAATTTTTCAAGAAACAAAGGGGCTGAATCAATTGAGTTCAGAAGTCAAATGAGTTCCTGTAAGCCCTTTTGTGAAAACTCCCAGATAAAAATCTGTGTAACTTCTCTCTTGTAAATCACTTCTCCTATCTCTGCTGGTATATACCACAGCTGTTACTTTTCCTTCATGTATCAAGGTTATTTCTTTAATTCCAAGCAAGACTGGGGAGGGAACAATGTTCTTTGATTTTCCAAGGCTGGTCAAGAGATAATGTAGAATTTATTCTTTAAAGGTTCAAAGGAAATAACATAAATTATTCTGTCAATTGTCAGACTTCCTTGGATAACTATGTCACAGACAAATAAAACAATAAACACTGCTTGCTTAGAAAAAAAAGTCACATTTAAATGGAAAACTTCTGTCTATATCTTCTAAAGATGTACATTTCTCAAATTCCAATCTCGTTCTCACCACTCCCTGTTAACCAGGAATAAGGCATTCAAAGTTATTTCTATCAACAAGTATATTGCTGGTTTTAAACAGTATTAAATCCCATCTTTGAACTTGACATTCAGTTTCTCTGATGAGCTAGTTACTGTTTGAGGAAGGACAAAGACTACATGGAAGAAAACAAAGTAAATCAAACAGGATGAGCCTCTGCCTCCCTTCCCATCTTCTCAGGATTCCTCCCCACTCCCTACGCAGACTGTGTACAGTCTCCTGGTTCAATGCATAACCCCAACATCACATCTTTTCTTTTTGCTATCCATGGTAGTAGCAGAGGAAAATAATAGTGCTGAGGGGTTCTGAAGCTGTTTAAGATGAAGGTTTGTATGGATGGCAGATTGTTCTTATGGACCTTACACAACACAGATCATCCTGGAAAAGCATTCTTTCCAACCCTGCACCCTTGGTCCAACACTATTTCAGGATGAATAAATTTAGCATCACTAGGCTGGCACCGATTCTACTATTCCACATCTCTGATGTACACATAATGTACCTGCGCCATTTCTGCTCTCATGAATCTAATGGGAAAGGCGAAAAGCCCATGTTGTTACCTTTGGCTGGGTAACATGCCCACCTCAGCCTGAGGTGCAGACACGCTGGAGAGATGGCTGGAGAACCGCCTCCTCCCAATGGCACCCATAAGGTATGCTTCTTGTTCACTTACCACACTAGGCATGCTCAAGGAGTCATCTAGAAAGAAAGAAAAAACAGGAAAGGAGAGGAAACAAACACCCCTAACCCCACCTATATATTTGCAGTTGTCAAGAGATAAGAGGATGCCAAAGGTATACCCAGCATTTACTTACCAAGACCCCAAGCCTGCAAATTTGAATATTTCCATTAGGTTTTACAGTCACAGTTCAGAAAGACATTATGCATAAAACCCTGCAGGATGAGGAACCCAGCACACATGGGGCAGGGATTTATGTACGCTTTCAGCTTATATGGCTCTCAGGAAAACCTGTCTGGGGAATTCAGCTTCCACTCGGGCTTAATTCCTGCGATTAATAAATTGTTTGTTAATACCCAGTGTTTTCTGGCATAAAAGTTGTAAGTGGACATTTTGCTGGTGTGAAATAAACTGCTGCTATGACATAGCAAAGCACCGTTACAAAAGATAAAATACATAACAGCAAAATGCAGAACTGACACCCTTTAACACCTTTTGGGACATGCATTTTAAAATATCACCAAACAATTGGATAAATTGACTCAAATACATCATACTGCAACTCAATTATGTAGATTGTGATCAGGACTGCTTGAAATTTTCAGTGCTGTTTCAAATGATATAAAGTACCTGGAAAGAAATGACTCTGTTGTGGTTTTTACAACAACAACTTCTAATTACAAATAAACAAATGAAACAAAGGGGAAGTTTTGTGTAATTTTCTCTTTTCTTTTTGACCATTTCCAGTTTTGATAAACTGAAATATTTTATGGCAGCATTAAGCCAAGGCAGGGCTGCGCTAATACTGCCGCAAGAAATAGGAAGATAGCACTCATCGTTCCACACAGTGGCTCATAATTCATCTGAGGCTGAAATCAGAGTTTGCCACAGCGAGTAAGTATCTGAGCGATGTCTCAGCAGTACAATACTGGGTGGATTGTACAATGTTTAGTGATGAACCCAGCCACAATAAAGTTGGGCTGAGCCTGGAAAGTTTCAGGCTAACTGTTCTTTCCCATCTGCTGTAACTGCACAGGCCTGTCTTTTGAGCTACCCATTTTCACTCCTTTTGTTTCGTATCTTTGGGGAATAGTCAGCAGTCCTCAAATACAGAAGTGAAGCGCCTGAGTTTCAGGCACTGAGGCAACCAACCGTTGCAGCACCAGAAGACAGTATCCCTGCTAAAGTAGGAGGAAGCCCAAGCCTGATGACATGTGAGCAGTTTTCTACCCTGGCTTTCAGTGATGGACAACTCAGAAGCAGATGGACAGCTCAGAAGCAGAGAGAAGGCAAAATTCCAAGAATAACATGAAACTCAGCTGAAATGACAAAGCAACATTCAGGTCATTGCAAATTAGTGCCCAAAAGATTCACTGTCCCATTCCTTCTAAACTGGCACCAGAAAGCCTGGTAACCCCAGAATCTGCTAGCTGCCCAAAAGGGAGATCAAGCTTTTGTTATGCGTAGGTTTAAGGCTTAATTTCCTCTTTGTTAATCGAGTGACACAAGCACACAGACATTCCACTCTGCAGAGAGTCACAGCTGGATCCCATGCAGCACAAGGACAACATATTCCACGTCGGAGCATCTGGACAGAAGCAATGAGCAGGAAGTACTAAGATCCTGCAGGAACAGGATCCTAACTACAGACCCAGTCACAGCCCCTGCCTACTGCCATGATGAAGGTCAAAGGGAGGACAGATTGCCAAATGCCTGGTCAGCACTGTGAGGACTGCAGGTCAGCCCAGGTCTCGTACACTAAAAATTTGCCTGTGCCCTTCCCTTTTCCCTATCCAGAGCTCAGGAGGGAATGAGGAGGTGTGAAACAACGCAAGTTTTAACAGCATGAACGGTGTAGCAACCACACCAGTTTCTTAGCCTTGTGACCCTATGGGCCTTTTGTTCACCCTGGGACGGGGACAACTGTCTTCCCCTCCCAGCCGTCCTCTGGGGCAGCAAGAAAACACCTTCAACGTTGGGGGCTTAGCTCGAATCAGTAGCCACGTACTTTCTTCATCCTCCTCATCTGTGCGGCTCAGCGTGTCCTGCGAGGCCTGCTGGGAAGGCTCGCTGTCCTGCTCCCAGACCGTGCCAGTGCCGGTGTTGGAGCGGGACATGGTGGCCAGGCTCAGGCGGTAAGCGGAGGTGGAGGTGCCCACGGTGCTGACAGATGTCTTCCCTTGGTAAGCTGCGCAAGAGTGGGAAAAGCAAACCCAGGTCAGTGACGGCACTGGAAATCAATCACCAGCCAAGCATCCCTGGCACATCGGGGACCTGATTCTGCCCAGACTAGAGGGGCAGGAGTTGGCAGAGGTGATAAAACAGGAACAGATGCTCTGGCTCATCTCACCTCTCCAAAATTCCTGTCTGTTTTTCTCATGCCGTCTGGCTTTCGCCTTTAACCTTAGCGCCGCATTTTCCAGATCGGCTTCAACATTTAGCAGCAAGGCAAATTATTACCAGGGAAAAAAAAAGACTGAGGCATTTTCTTTTGAATTTGTCGTCTTTTCTTAAGAACAAAGCACACAAAATCTCTTGCCATGTGTAAGTAGTGGCTGCCATCTCGTGGCAACGAGGGCGACGGGTACAGGAGAACAGTGTCCCCTCAGAAGACAGAGTTGAGTCCACCCTCGGCTTGGGGTGCTGATCTGGACCTCACAGCAGAGAAAAATCAGAAGAGGAGAAAGGAGGAGACAGATCTGCTCCTGACAGACCGACAGACGTTTCTGCACGAGCAGCTCCGGATTTATGGAGATGTAGGTCGGGGCTTGCTGCGTTGTGGGCTGGGGCTGCACAAACCACCTGCGACAGTGGGAAATAGGGCTCAGACTTAGCGGAAGAAACGGGCAGGACAAGGTGCATGTTACAACTCACTTGGACTTCTGCTGGCTGTCCGGTGGCAAGGCTGGGCTGGGCACAGGGCCTGAGCCAGGGGTGGGCTGTCGGGGTGGGGATTGCCGCATTCCCCTCCTAGGTAGCGGGCAGGTCTGCCTCACAAGTTAATTTACAGGCAAGCCAGCTGGCCAGACTGGGCTGATGGCCCCCTTAGCTCTCCCCTCTCCTCCTTACCAGACCCGCTGTGCACTGCTTCCTTCAGGATCTTCAGCTCGCTATTGAATTCGGCAATGAGGGAGCTCTTGCAGAGCGGGCGCGGTATGAACCGTCTCTCCAGCTGGTCGGCGATGTGCTGTCGGGCAGTCAGCTCCTCGTGGTTCTCGGCAGGCTGGGCCAGCAGCTGCAAAATTGGGACATGTTAGCATTGCAGGGAAACAATGCCCAGGGAACTGGGACTAGTCTCCAGACCAGCATGAGCCTGCAGCCAGCAAACTGTCCTCTTTGTAGGCATGAGGTTTTGACTCCAGCTATGAGGCTTCCACCTGTCTTTCTGTGACAGACTTATATTTGATTGAACAGATATCAAAACCTCGCTGACATTGGTACATGGGGATGAGGGCTTCCTTATGCTAAGCTCTGCCCTCAGACATAAGACAGCTCCTTCCTCCAAGATGATTTACTCTGGCCAAGTGGTGAGACACAGTAGGCTAAATAAGGTGGAGCACCATGTGCTAGTCTACCTGGTAAGCAGGGAAGAGCTGTGATTAACTTAAGCCCTGTCTGCCTCAGCCTAGCAGCTGTCAGTCCATCCACAAAAGTCCTGTCAGAACCTTCACCCAAGAGATGGAAAGCAGAGTGGTCCTTCCTGGCTGTTAGCTGGATTGCCAGGCTCCGTGCAGAAGAGAGATTTCTGGAAGATTTCTGCCAACTATGCCAACCCCCTCCTAGGTTCAGAGCATCCACACTAATTCTAAGTGCTTTGAGTGTCTTTGTTGCAAAATTAAGTCTACATGGTCTAGGAAAAAGCCCTGTGATTTCATTTCAAAGGGTTCTCAGGTCTACTAACTTCTGAAAAGTCACCCCCTACATAAACATGCAGTTCTTCCGGGAGCGCTGTTCCTCTGTTCTCAGCAGGGGAATAAAGGATATCTTGCCTTCAGGGAGTGATCTATCAGGAGCCAAAGTAACTGTTACCTTGCACTGGATGAAGGGCCGAAGGAGCACAAAGATAGGGATCCGTGTTCGTACGATAAAGTCGAGGAAATCCCACAGGGCCAGCCCTCCCACCTTCCGCAGTGCCATCTCTTTGACTTGGAGGCTCAGCCAGTACCACTGGCTGTCCAGTTGGCGTTCAAAGCAAACAAGGATCACCTTCAAGGCTACAGGGGAACACACACCAGCAAATGGCAGTCAGAGATGTTATCAGCGTCCCTTACAAGCATTGAGGGAGGAATGGGGGTCCACAGTGGGCACGAACCTACACAGGCATGCACGCATGCACGTGCACATGCACACCCACACACCTCTGAGTCACAACTGCCCTTTCAATCTGTCTCCAAACGCAGCAGGGAAGGAGGGTGACTTTCTTATAATAAAGGCCTCGGGATCAGGACCAAGAGTCCCATTTTGACAGTAATTTTCCTACTTCACACCTAAGTTCCTCTGTATTTTCTTGCTCTAGCTTCCCCTCACTCTCCCTGCAGAGTTCTTTTGTCTTCCTGGAATTCAGATATTTTGAAAGCAGCTCAGGGGGGAATACAGCCCTGGCTGATCAGACAGTCTCAAAAATCTTGATCAAGCACATCCACACAAAGGGTCACCCTGTGAGCACAATAACCTCCAGGTTATTTATGGGGTAATGAAAAGAACCTTCCTAGCAGTGCAGCTGCATGAGTCACGGCCAAACTGTAATCTAAACAAAAATACGGTCCACTAAGCGAGGGGCCATAATTCACGAGAGCACTAACAGCGATGAGGTTCAAAACAATGCTCTATATTAAAGTGGGCAGTGACCAACAGTTAGCTCAGTTAGCTCACAGGAGAGACAAGGCATCTCCCCCTTTCCATGCTCCCCTGGTCTGGAACAAAGAGAGGCGCCTGGGAATTGTTGGGGGAAAGTTGACTACTCCATCTCTCTTGATGGGATGACCAAGACAACTCAGCCATCACACATCTGTATCCAGGTTTGTTGGGGTGGGGAGCTAAATCAGTCGTGAACTGCCATTTTTTCATCAGTGTGACCCCATTCCTCAGACATGGGTTAACACAGACCTGAATAGAAGCCTTCGGATAAATGCCCTCACAAAATCAGAAACAGAGAAGCTGTTTGAAGGAGTGAGAGTTTTGAGACCAAACTCTCCCCATATAGCCCCAATAACTTGCGGTGCTGCTGCATCTCCAATTTGATTATTTTTTTCTTTCCTTTCACCTGTGAGTCATATGTGAGACAACATAGTACTGCCTTGCAGCAGCATACAGCGAGCAGAGGGAATACCGGTCAGTAAGGAGCGTACGTGCGCAGGGCCAGCAGGCAGACAGACTGCATCACATCTCACCCTAGCTAGCCAAGGGCCAGTGAAGCTGTGACATGAGGGGCTGACAGGCAGCCTGACTTGCCTTTTGTGGCTTCACTGCTATATTCTGGCAGTATGAAAACTGAGCTACTTCTGCCTGTCCTGCCATCTCCTCCAGCTGCAGTGCAAACACTGCTCACGTTGCAACATATTCCAGAGATACTCCTGGCTTCACGCTCTGGCCTGGCCCCTCGTTCGGGACAAGACCTAAAGCAGCTCCGAAGAGCTCAACTAGCTCCTGCCCAAGACGGTTTTCTTTGGTGCTGTCTACAGCCTGGAACGCTCCATTTTACCTCTGTCTCTTCTCAGCGGTCAGCAGAAGCCATCACTCACCCAGGTAGGCAGCCTGGCTGGTGGACTCTGCGAGCCCTTCCCGCCGCAGGTCCTTCCCCGCATCCCCTGGGGTGGAGCAATGGGCAGGGGAGCTCTCCAGCATAAAATTCTTGCTGCGGGAAGTGCTGATGATGCGAGGTGGCAGGAGGATATTGATAACAGTCTGGAGCAGCAGCAGGACCTCAGGCTGCTCCAGCCAGGGGCTGTCTGAGATGCATTGGGAGGGGAGAGAGAGAGAAAGATCAGGCTACATCCCATCAAAGACACCCAAAAGATCCAGACCCTGTTCAGTTTCCAAAACGGGGTGCAATCACAAACGTCCCCTAAGCCAAAATTCCGTCCCCCACACCTTGTTATGCTGCTTCTCCTCCTGCAAGCAAAGGCAAAGTTTATTTTAGCACCAACACAAACACACACGAACACAGAGCTGCACAGCACAAAGAAATGTCCCGTATAGCGGTCTCGTGATCTCACTTCCTTTTGACACTCCCCTCTCCCTTCATGCTTTGCTTTCATTTAGGGATTTACCAGCGATCACCCTCTACAGAAGAAAGCAAGGAGCAGGATCGGTGCCAGACAAGTGGCACGGATTGGGCAGACTGTGACCCACAGGGGCACACAATTTCTGTGACCTCTGCTCCCCTCTGTGGCTGCTGCTACAACAGATTTCTCTCGCCCTGCACTCTGGTTCCAAAAGAAGGAGCACACCTGTGTAAGACCTGACTCAAGAAGCATGGCACAGCTGAAACAGAAGAAACAACAACAACAACAACAACTTCTCCCAATGGGGCTCTTTTCAGTCTTGGGACCAAAGGGTGCTTTGCTGACACACTGCCAGGGACAGAAAACCAAATTAAAAAAAACCCAAAAATAAAAAATCAACAGAGGGCAGGGAAAGTGCAAACATCAGTTGTCAGAAAAGGGGGAGAAAAATTCTTTTTGTTAAATTAGTCAGACCTTTGCTTCCAGATCCTACTGTGAGCACAAATGGAATCAGTAGGTTTAAAAGCATTCCTTCCCTTCTTTCCTGATTGGTGAATGGGGAGACGACATGGCTTAGGGGGAAATCTTCTTTCAAAGCCTGTGCAGTAATAATAAGAAAGGATTAAACGATTTCATCAGCAGATCACGCACACAAGTTACTGCAGGGAATGACAATCCCCCAGGCACCCTGTTTACACAGTACACCGCCAGCATCGATGACCAGATTCAATTAGAAGCCCTATCTCAATTAGACACCACTTAGTCAGGAGTAAAAAGAATTCAGAGAGTAACATAGGTGTCACCTGCTTTTGTCACAGCCAAGATGTAAGAAGCCCAGGTTCCTAACTCATAGATATTAACAAAATCAGATGTATCCCACAGGCGTCAGCTGAGTGCTAGTCCCAGACTTTGCCCTGCTGTGAATGGCATCAGGATCTGACCCAGACTATGAAGGATTAAAAAAAGGAACAGAGGAAATTGCATAAATGACATAATCTAAATATTCCGCTGTCCGAACATGGAGGTTATTCCCAAACACACTTTTTGTTCTGCCTCACTTTTTTGCTGCCCCATCATCCTCCCTAACACAAAGAATGAACTCCTGAAAAATAAACAAAATGCACGTTTACTTCTTGACGGATAGTCAAGCCTAAATTGAGAGGTCTTTCATCTTCTTTGGAGGAGGTAATACAAATGAGTGTTGCTAGAACCTCTGCTCATTTACAGCTTCCCAGTTGCTACAGACTTAGCTGTGAAATGCAACTGAACCTTGCAGCCCCTCAAGCTTGCAGACCTGGGCTGAGAAATTCCAGGAGAAGATGTTTTCTGATGGGGTGTGAAGTACTTCTGCTTCATATCCTGCTGGAAGTATTAGGAATTATGACTACTCATGTGTTTTTCTGACATGTTTGGTTTTCATTACATTTAAAGCCCAGGAATGAATGAACAGGGAGAAGAGGATAATAAAAGTGAAAACTCCCAATACTTTTAAAAAATTATTAACTTGGTATCTGGTTTTTAAAAAGAGAAAAGATCTCAGAGAAGGTGAAAGTGGCCCTTTTTTTGCTTTTGATTAAAGAACCATTACCTCAGAGCTGGAAGAAATCTGTCCTCTCTCTGTGTCAGTTGGTAGCAAAAAGTCCTTTTGTGCCTCATGCTCTGGGGGACAGAACTGTGTTTTGGTCCCTATAAGCCTTCCTTCCCAAGCCATCCCGCAGCTCCGAAGTACCTGCTCAAGTATTCAACAGGATGTGCCAAGGCATATTTTAAAATGCAAGTTGGAGCTAGATTAGGAAATTTGTCCCTTCTTTGGTCACCATTCTGTCTGATTTCATGCCAATGGGGAGGGAAAGGGATACAGAGGCAGAAAGACTCCGTAATAGTTATGGCATTGCTACGAGAAAGGAATAGTGATGAAATTCTCCATAAAGTCCAGGATGGGTTTTTGAGGGGGGTTTTTGTTTATTCTGGACAACAAGGATGTTATTGAGTCAGCAGCTGAAAAGCCAAGTTGCCCTGCTTTTTTGAGCTGGCACACTGTGTGACCAGCTCAGGTAAGAGCAGAAGAGCACAAACTCCACTCTGAGTTGCACACACGGTCCCACA